TCCATGGTACTTTTATTTGGAGGCCAGCCGCACATGCTAGGGAAAAAGGCAACTCAGATAGAGATGGGAGCACCAAATAAAGGGTGTTGGGAGGATCCTCCCAGGGTGGGAGATGCATGCTGAAAGTAGATTATAGACTGAACATGATTGCCATTCAATGCCTCTTTTGCAAACCACAGCACTCAAAAGGAGAGAGAACAAAAGGGAATGCCCCGCCACAGAGGCAGGGTGGGATGGGGGAGATGGCGGGTAGGAGGGATACTGGGATCATTGGGCTTGGAGAATGCGCACTGGTGGAGGGATGGGTACTCAATCATTGTATAACTGAAACCCAAGCAGGAAAGTTTGTAGTCTATAACTGTACCTCATGATGTTTCACTAATAAAAATATAAAAGAAAAAATGCAAATCCCTCAAATTTGGATAATGTTACAAGATTCCCTTCTCCGGGAATTAGCAAGATTACTACTTAAGAAGAACTCATTATGCTGTTTCCCACTCAGGGTCTTACTTATTTCATTCCAGATATCCAGTTCCTCAAAAGTTTAAGAGTAACCTGTATTTAGTCTCAGAGAACTGCTAGCCAAATTAAAAGCACACCATTTGGTAAAGTAAAGGGTGAAAGAAAACTACGTTTCAGCATATACTTTTTTTTTTTTCCACCAGAAATCAAATTTTGGGTTTTACAGAGGTGACTGGGGCTGGAGCGATAGCACAGAGGAAGGGTGTTTGGTTTACGGCCAATGATTCCTCCATCCCTCTCGGAGAGCCTGGCAAGCTACAGAGAATATCTTGCCCACATGGCAAAGCCTGGCAAGCTACTGGTGATGTATTCAATATACCAAACACAGCAAAAACAAGTCTCACAATGAAGACATTACTGGGCCCACGTGAGCAAATCAATGAACAATGGGAGGACAGTGACAGTAACTTCAGTCTTGGTTTTCTTGTCTATATCCTTCTTAGACACAGAGTAGCTCCTACAGCAAAACACCATTTTAGACCCTTTGATCTATTGTATGATAGGCCCTTTCTCACAGATTTCTTATTGGACTCAGAAAGTTTAACATGAAATTTTTATCAATTTAGGACAGGTTACTTAGGCAGTTCAAGAATAGGTAAATACTGTTTTACCTCGCCCAGAGAATTAATCCCAACCAAAACTCAGTCTGGTAGTTGGGTCTTATTAAGAACCTGGAAAACTGGGGCTGGAGCGATAGTACAGCATTGCCTTGCATGTGGTTCATCTAGGTTTGATTCCTGGCATCTCATATGGTCCTCCAAACACTGCTAGGATTAACTCCAGAGTACAGTTAGGAGTAAGGTGTGACGCAAAAAGCCAAAAAGAAAAAAAAATCACAAAAAACACAAAAAACCTGGAAAACTGTATCCCCTTCTGATCAAGTAAGTAGTAAGTATTCCTATTGCTGTAAAATTTAATAGACTTTCTAATTGGGTTTATTGCTCCAGGATAGAATCAGCTCCATCTATATCATCCAGCAACAAGACTCTTGATAGTGAATCAAACTACTGAGTTGTGAACGCACCAAGGATCTAACAGTTCTCTTTAAGAAAACCAAAAACTGGGGCTGGAGCAATAGTACATTGGGTAGGGCATTTGCCTTGCACACAGCTGACCCAGGTTCGATTCCCAGGATCTCAGATGGTCCCCCAGGCATTGCCAGGAATGATTCCTGAGTGCAAAGCCAGGAGTAACCCCTGAGCATCACTGGGTGTGAGCCAAAAAAAGCCAAAAAAAAAAAAAGGTAAAAAAACCCCAAACTGGGCTGGAGCAATAGTATAGTGGGTAGGGCATTTGCCTTGTATGCAGCTGACCCAGGTTCCATCCCAGGCATCCCATATGGTCCACCAACCACCACCAGAAGTAATTCCTGAGTGCAGAGTCAGGAGTAAGCCCTGAGCATTGCTGGGTGTGACCGAGAAAGCAAAAAAAAAAAAAAAAAAAACCCAAAAACCCCAAAACTAAAGTTACATGTCTCGTAACTCTGAACTTGTTACTGGCAGTAACACACTGCCAGTAAAAGCAGAAACTAGCCATTTCTTTTGCAACAGATTTACTAATATGCAAAAGGAGAACTCAATGATCCTAATGTAACCATTTTCTTATTACAACAGGTCCTCCTCAGAAGGTCAGAGAAAAAGACTTATAATTCCTCTAGATCTATCCATGTTCCCTGTTTCAGACTTTCACCACAGTGGACCCCAATAAATCACTGCCTGGGACAAAATTAGTATTAAGTTAGAGATTTTACACCCTTACATAGGTAGAGTCTATGTCCTTTTCTCAGCTCTTTTGTTAGGGTTTGTGCTCTTTTTTTCAGTGCCTCTTTCAGACTTTCATCCATGTATCCCTATGAAGATTTAAGGAGGGTAAAATCTCTGGGGAAAAATTTTGTAGGCATAGAGATGGGGGTGAAAGGGCTGGGGAGAGAAGGGAGACTTCTCTTCTCATACATGTTAAAGTATGTTTGGAAAGAACAGTCTGAAATCTAAACCAGTCTAAGGACATGAAGACCTCTGAAACAAAAGACCCATCTGGCTCCCAGTAGAGGCACCAGGAATGAGGACAAAACCTGTGATTTGAACTCAAGAATGGACCACTAGACATTCAAAACTATCCCCCTAGGAAAAGTTCCATTAACTCCTTCTTGTGTAAAGAATTTGGGACAAAGGCAGTTATGAAAAATACAAATACTTAACTTTCTCCAAAAGCCACTGTGGGTTTCTACTCTGGTGAAGCCCAGGTTCTCTCTTGAGCTTTTTCAGTCTTTATTTCCCTAGTGAAACTTGCTTTACCTCACAAAAGAATAAAAAAGAAATTGGTACCATATTCACCTCTAATGATATCATCAGTGCTGGGTAGAGGTAAAGCCATAATCAGCCAAAATATATACCATTCTCAACAAGTTTGGGAGCTCTGTAGAAAAGTCATCTCTACTAGACATGACTGCCATAGATCAGAAATGGTACAATCACTCCTCTAAGAATAAAATATACTTGAGAATGATTAAGAGACCTATGTAATATCAAGCCCCAGAAAAATAAGATTAGTGGTGGTTTCGAGGAAATATGGAATGTAATAGCTAACAATTACGGAATGCTTACTACGTTCCAGGAACTGATGGTTTATCTCATTTAATTTTTCAACAGCTCTGTGGGATAAAGATATTGTTATAAACCCTATTTCACACTAAGGCTGAGTATAAGGCTGACGAACTTTTTTTTTTTTTTTTTGCTTTTTGGGTCACACCCTGTGATGCACAGGGGTTACTCCTGGCTCTTCACTCAGGAATTACCCCTGGCGTGGCTCAGGGGACCATATGGGATGCTGGGAATCCAACCGGGTCTGCAGTGTCAAAGCAAACATCCTACCTGCTGTGCTATTGCTCCAGCCCAAGGCCAATGAACATCTTAAGACAGCAAAGGGCAGTCAGACGCAAGTCTTGGATTTGAACTCATGTCATCTGGAGCTTTAGAGTATGAATATCTATAACTACAATGTACAGATAGGCTAAGAGAGTCTGGGGGGAAAAGTTCAGATTTCTAAAAAGGGGAAATTAATTTCCTCAAAAGTAACCACTCACTTTATCCCATACCAGACCCTTCAGATTGAACTCCCATTCTAGAAAGTAAAACTGGCATTTACATGCCAATTGAAAATCATCATCATCACCATCATCAAATTTTGGACCTTAAAATGTATGTTACACATCTGACAATAAGAATGAAGCATGTACAGTGTTTTGGTTTCCAAAGACAGGTGACCTGATGATTATGATAATCCATTCTCTTTCCCTGACATAATGAAGAAATAGGTATTAACCTCACACTTCACTAACGAATTATTTGGAAGCCATGAATTGCTGAACAACCTAATAAAAGAGCTCACAGTCAAAAAATTATGGGCCGTTTCAGATATGCCTGCAAGTTTCGACAACTCCTCATTGCCGTTAACTTCCGATCCATTATTCCAAAATCCACACATTCAACTGAACCCGTACAGCATATCTCAACTCAGAAAAAACAAAAAACAAACAAAAAAAAACTTCGGCTTTTCCCTCTCATCTCCTCCCCCACAGCTTAGCACCGGTACATAGCTTGAGAAAGTTTCTGCCTAATATTCACCCATTTCCCTCCCACCCTCCCTCCCTTCCCATGGATGAATTTCTACTGCCAAATATGCAGCTCCGCTTATCACAGGTGCGCATCACGATCTGAAAACACAACGGCTCGTAAAGGCACGCCACCACCAAGGTAAGAGGATGACCACGAGGACCCAATGGCCCCGGACTAGATCGGCTCCAACCCTCCACGCGAAGGGTTCGCACGCAGGTCCACGACGACCGACAGCGGGTGGGGAAGGAGGAGAAGGTAGAAACGGCCGTGCTCAAGTCCATCAACATTCAGGGCGCCACTTACCCGGCGCAAAAAAAGAAGAAAAAAAAAGAAAAAAGAAAAAAAAGGGGGGGGAATGGAAAAGAAATAATAATAATTTTAAAAAAGAACAGAAAGAAAGATCTTTTTAAAAAAAAACATGTTTGAGGAGCTGAATGGTATTGGGAGTAACTGGGCCCCGCAGGTTTGCTGGAGGGGGCTAGAGCCAGTGCCAGGGACTCGGAGGCCGGGGAGCGGCGGGGCGGCGGAGACAGCCCCACGCCACCTAGGCAAGGCGGTCAAGCAAGGCCCGGCCTCCAGCGCCCGGACCCCGGCGACCGCACACTCGCCGGCCCAGCCGCCAGCCCGCCGGCCGACCAGCCGCAGCCGCTTACCGGTGGCGCCTCGTCGCCTCCCCAGGGGCAGCCAGCCCTTCAACGGTTGCCGCAGTCAGAGCACCACCCCGCGGTGGGGTACGAAGAGCCCAGCCCGCAGCTCTCGGATCCCCGCAGAGCCGCCACTCTCGCGAGAAGCCGGCGGAGTGCGCGAAGTGGGGGCGTGCGGGAGGAGGCGGAGAGGGGAGGGGCATTTAACGGTGGCGGCTGGTGCTGCGCCGGATCCGGGAGAGGGGCGGGCGCCATTGTGCCTCGCTGTCGACTGCTGGGACTCGGTTACGGGCCTAGGACTCGGAGGAGGAAGGCGACGGGCGCTGGCGACGAGCGGGACGCACCCTGTGCGGGGCCATCGCGGAGCAGGGGTAATGAAAGCCGCGGGCCCCGGGCTTCTACTCCCACCCCCTCCCCACCCGGGGGTGGTGGTTCGAGTCCGGGCCGTGAGTGGGGGAGGGGAGGAAACCGAGTGCGGGCCTGAGGTCGCGGCGGCCGCTGCCTCCCTCGGCGAGGTGGGATCGCGGCGGGGTAGGGCCGCCGTGCGGGGGCGGGAGTGGGCCCTGGGTGGACTTTGTGACGGGCGCGGAGGGTTGATTGTGCGTCTTTTTCCTCACAGGGCTGGGCGAGGGCTTGGGAGCTGGACACCCGCCCTCGGCTGGTGGCGGCCGCCGGTTTGGGTTTTTTTTTTTCTTCCCCCAGTCCGGGTGAGGAGGGTGCCCCTGAGGGTGGGCCGGGAATGTCACGAGTGAGGTGTCGGGGGCACAGGGCATCGAAGGCGCTGGGGAGGGGCAGGCTGCTGCCGGGCCGGCCTCGCCTGGGCAGGAAGGACCGTGGCCAGTCCCTTCGATGGCGCTGAGGACGGGGCCCGCGACGGGTCGCCCGGCTGCGGGACTCGCGGACTTCGGGGGAGTTCTTTTCGTAAGGTGGCCCGGCGGGGGGCGGGGGTCGGGGTCGGAGTCGGGTTGGGGGCGGGGGCGGAGGCGGAGGCGGAGGTGGGGCTCGCTCGGCGGAGGGGAGACCTGTTGGCGTGCGGAGTGCAAAAGATGGAAGGCTCGAGGCGGAGGACGCCCCCTCGCCGTGTGGAAACTGCGTAGTGCGGTGGAACGCGGAGGGGACGGCGCGGAACCGGGCTCCTCCCGGCGGCCTCGCCCCCACCTGTCTGCGTCGCGGACTAGGATGAGGAAGTGCAGTAAATGTGTCCCGGCGGGTGGCACTCCTCCAAGTGAGAAACTCGAAGGAGGGCTCGCCCGGGTGGCGTGGGGTGGGGTGGGGTGGGGTGGGGTGGGGGCAGCTCCGAGTCGTGGCTGGCGGGCTGAACGCGGAGAGGAGGCCGGGGAGTGGGGGGGGGGGGGGGCGGGGTGGTGAGGAACGAGATGGCTGAAATCTTACTCACTCGAGAAACTTTTGATTGGGGCCGGGGATGGGGGTCTGTGAGAAGTAGGAGAGGAGGCCGGGAAAGGTGGAAGTAGCCTTTTTCACCGTCTCTGAACTCGGGGTGGGGGGTGGGGGTCGCGCTCCCCACTTGGGCTTAAGGCCTTCTCAGGCCCTGAGACAAAGGGGAGGGGTCGGTGGGGTGGCTGTTGGCGAGGGTCTGCAGCTTTCGCCACCGAATGGGTGCACGTCCTGGGCCCATGCTCCCGACATTCCACGCTGGGAATTTTCTCTGGGGCCATTCTCCTCCTAGTCTCATCCTACCTAATCTCTTGCCTTCCTGCTCCCATAACGCCTGAGCTGTAATATTAGGCCCTTTGCACGCCCCTGTGTTGTGTTGTGTTGTGTTGTGTTTTTTTTTCCCCCCCCTTCACGATCCTGCGGTTTCTGGTCAGAACTGAGAGTAAAGTAAGAGTAATGGTGGATTTTTGAGTAAAGATAAAATAAGAGTAAGGTAAGAATAAAGATTTTTTTTTTTGGATTGAAGAATCAAACAGTATATAGTTAAGTGGCTAGATTGTTGTTGTTCCCAGGTCCACAGAATTGTTCCTTGAGAAGTCGGGTATCCCAACTCCGCAGTTTTTCAACTGTATTTGGTGGAACAGAAGTGTTTTAGGTGTTAAAACGATCAGAAAGTCTAGTAGTGAGCCTTAATTTTGCCGTCCTTACAGAACGCCCCAGATTCACTGCAGTAGCAAAGCAGGTAATTCCTAGAGATGAGCTAAGGCTCAAATTATGTGGAATGTGTAGCAGTTAACAACGCTGGGTTCATAATACTTGGAGAGTTAATTTTAAGTGGGTATTTGAATTGTTATTCAGGGTTCAGGTGTTTATATTCACTTAATCTTTTTTTTTTATTCTACCTGGAAAAGTCATCAGCCCTCAGAATACTGACTACTTCTACACAAGAATATATGTTTCATACCAGAACAAACTCTTCTTTGTCCTAAATTTTATCACATTCACTCAAGCCTGATGGTATATGTATATGTATAGTAATCTATGTAATCTATGTATTGTTAGATTTTTCCCCAAAGTTGCATTCTGGGCCAGACTATTCAATAAAAATAAACATTTCTTCTTAGGTACAAGATTGACTTTCTATCCAATAGGCAGCTAAGTCACAAAGATGCCTCTATACTACACAGATGGTCACAGACACATTCTGTATGAAGATAGGAGATAATAAGATGTACCTAAAAGTCATCCATGATATTCTGAAAGACATTTTTTCAAATCAGCTCCATATCCATATCTGATATTTGTAATTCCTGACCAGGACTAGGTATGGCTCCAAACCAAAACACAATTGCCCCCCCCCTTTTAATATATTTGAAGAAACAAGTAACATATTATTAATTGAATTTTAACAATTTTTGTGTTATGATTAGATTAGTGGTGCCTATATAAGAAAGCTTTATAGAATTGTATGCCCTCCACAACTCAGTTTAGTCTAATGACTAATGTAGAACCATTGTTAGGTTTGTTTAAGTATAATGTTTTGGGAGCACAGAGAAAGAATGCTTAATCTTGGGGTATAATTTTTTTTATTGTGCTTAATGCTTGAACTGAGATGTTCAGAGGAAGAAATTTGTAGCTAACTGCAAAGTCATGGTATCATGGCTTTAGACTTAACAGTTTGTTACCAATAGCTAAAACAAATTGAATGGAATGTGGAACATGGCATGAAAGACCTGTACTGTTTAAGAAAATGTTCTATGCTGTTTGGAGTAGAGATCACTATTGTGCCCCTAAACCAAATAATTATTTTTATATTATTTTTGTTGATACATCTTTCTGTTAATTGTCAGTAATAAGTGGAAAATGCCCAAGTGAAATGCAGAACTTATATTAAACCTGATTTTTAAACAACAGATTTAAAAACTAATGAATCTTTTAACAGTTAATCAAAAACTGATCACATTAGAATTGCTTTTTAAGATTGGGTATGACTTCAAGTTCCTAAAATCTCGAATTTGCTAGAGCAAAATTTCTTTACGTTGAAAAACCATTGACCTTCTCATATATCATTATTTTACAAAACTTGCCTTTAATATGATAACTCTAAAAAGTGAAGGGGTGGGAGGTAAGTTTATAGTTTGACAGTTCGACTGGGGGTTAATCTTCATTGGTCTGAATTTTCAGTTTTTTTGGTCTGGTCTGGACTCATGAGCAAAGCTGGTTTTTCTTGCTCTGAGATACATTGATAGCTCTACTGGTTAGACTAGATAAGTTGAACGCCTGGTTATAAAATCATCAGCTCCACGCCCATTTTTGTCAACAGCTTTAAAGGAGGACAAATTTTGAATCTTGAAAAGTAATTCTTTTTTTCCCCATTATCATTGATGTTTCTCACTTTAATAAAAAAAAAAAGCCCTGAAAAGATAACTCTTGGTGAGTTATTTATTTGAAATTTATACTAAAATTTAGCACTTAAAACTGTATGAGAACAGCTTATCTCAAGAAGTACTGAGGTTAGTGTAGACTTAAACTTAACATCATAGACTTCTGCTGTTTTTTCAGAATTGAGTATATTTTTGTGTCTTAAATATTTGTCAGCTAAAAGCACCTCAAAATCTAGTGGGTTAAAATTGCTATTTACTTTTTTTTTTTTTACAGTTCTGTGCACCAATTGGGCAAATCATGTTTTGCCTGGGCTCACTCATGTATAAGCATTCAGCTGGAGGATATCTCAGTCTTGTAGGTCCAATATGGCATTGCTCATGTCTAGCAGTTGGTGTTTGTTAACATTTAGGATTTGCTCCATTTGTTTTTTTGTTTTGTTTTGTTTTGTTTTTTTTTTTTAATGACATGGGAGGTTGGCTGGGGGAAATCTCAAGACAGCAGTTGAGAAGTTGAGAGTGAAATGAAAGTTATTAAGACTTACTGCTTTGCAAATCTCATGTCACTTACACGGTATTCTCGTGGGTCAAAATAAGTTCCACAATACTAGTGCATATTCAGGGAATGGGACATAAGATTCTACCTCTTCCTTGGTGGACCAGCAGCTGCAGGATGCAAAGAAATATGCATATGTGAATTAGTAGCTATTGTTTATAATTAATTACAGATTGTTCAGTATACTTTAAGAAGAGGCATTCTTCATGATGATATGATTGATATTTACTTTAAAATTGACAAGATAGTGGGAGGCACAAGGAGAGTACAATGGGTACAGTGCTTTGTCATGCATGCTGCCAACCTGGGTTGATCCCCAGCATCTCGTATAGTCCTCAGCCTGCCAGGAGTGAACCCTGAGCACAGTACCAGAAAGTAAGCCCAGAGTGAAGACTGGTGTGGCCCAGAAACTCCTCCCTCCCCCCCCCCCCCCCCGGAAATAAAGGTCATGATTATTGTTGGGGATAGTTGGTTAGTACATGGAAACTCATTATCTCCACTCCGCCCCAAAAGGTGGCTTCTTCCCCTAGCTATGCTGGGCTTACTCCTGACTCTGCACTCAGGAATTTTATTACTGGTAGGGCTGAAGACTGTGCTGCGGGGCTGGAGCAATAGCACAGCAGGTAGGGCGTTTGCCTTGTACAGGGCCGACCCGGGTTCAATTCCCAGCATCCCATATGGTCCCCTGAGCACCGCCAGGGGTAATTCCTGAGTGCGAGCCAGGAGTAATCCCTGTGCATTGCCAGGTGTGACCCGAAAAGGAAAAGGAAAAAAAAACCTGAGGTGCTGGGTGTGAATCAGGCTGAGTCAGGTGCATGCAAGGCAAACACCCTACCCACTGTACTATCACTGACCCAGAAGATCATTATCTTGGTATTTGTAAACGTTTGAAGTTTTTCATAGGAAAAAAGAATTGAGTCATGCAATTTGTTTGTTTGGGGGCACTCCAGTCTGTTCAGGGTTTACTCTGGCTCTGACTTCAGAGATCACTCCTGGTTGGCTCAGAGGACCATTTGCGGTATTCAGAATCACTCTATCC